AAAAAAAATTGTACATTTTATGCGTGTTATAAATTAAAGAAATTATAAAAATTAAAACCCTCCTCCTTTATTCGGGTTTGGAATCGGTTACAATTATCGTAGGCGGAGTTAAAATTGTACACGAATAAAATATTTCGTGTATAATTTTTTTTGAAAAAAAATTAAAAATTGCGTATTTTTTTGAAACTAAACAATTTAAAAACTTACAATATCTTATGCTTTAATCTGCTATAACTCTTCGACGATTATACTATCAACTTGTTCTTAAAGACGTAATTTCGCACATTCCCAGTCTTTCAAACATATTAAAGCTTTCAATATATTTTCTTTTAGTCTTGATCGTTCGTCACATAAAACTCGACCACCTAAACTAAATGCAGCATCCGATGCTACTGTAGACACCGGCGGTGTTAGTAGATTGTGAGCAATTTTTGATACAATTGGATACTGCCTTTCGTTACACCTCTACCATGATAAAAAACTAAATTTCTGTAATTCTTGTGGTTGTAACATACTACGAACTTCCACGCACATATACCTAGCTAACTTGAAGAGAATTTCAAGATTTGTACCACTGACATCTAATGTTCTAGATATTGACGAACTAGAACTAAATGATGGAACACTAGTATTGGTCTCTAAATAACTCCATATATTACCTGCAATTGTTGAAGCATTTCTTGAAAAAGAAATTTGGGTACACTGACCATCTTTTTCAGCGTAATAGTTATACATTTCACATAACATTGATTCTATATGCACATATGATAATTGTACATTCATGAAATTGAAATCCCTTTTATAGTAGCTTTTGTGCCAATTAAATTAAGTCGAGGGTCCATCACGGAAACTAATAAAAATAAAGGGGGTATCTCTTCCCAATATTTACGAAATTTTCACTCCATAAAATAAACTATATCAACAAAAATTGACAAACTCCTATATTTTTGAAATACTTGTGTAAAATAGAAAAATGTTGTAAAATAAGTGAAGATGTAGGGTAATAAACACTGCTACATTCCTTTGTGGCACCGAAAAAAAGTTTTAAAATTTTTTTCACGACAAATGCAAGATTCCATTCCCAATCTTCCAAATTATGTTCGGGTCCATATGTATGCCTACCATTATAATACATCGAAATAATTTTATCATAATTTTGACACGAGTGTAACATAAGATATGCAGAGTTCCATTTATGTGATACATAAGTGACAAACGATTTCTCTTCTAAACCATGCTCTGCACATAAACTGTTAAATGCTTACTTTCTTGCTGGTGATATAGTAATAAAATTAATTGCTTACCTAATTTTATCTAACATTAATTTTATATGTTCTAATCCATCTTTTACAATCAAATTAATAATGTGACATACACAACGTTGATGAAAAAATAAACCTCCAAATGTAGGGTTCAAATCATTAATAATTTTTTTAATAACAACTTTGTTTACACTAGCATTATCCAAAGTAAAATTTCGAATCATTTCTTGCATACCATATTCTTGTATAATATCTTTTAAAATCATGCATATGTTAGTTGTATTATGAGGATATTCTACACATCTGAATACAATAGTTCCTTTATGCATAATCCATAGGTGATTAATGTAATGAGTTGTAGCAGCAATATAACCTTTTTTTATTAACATCGGTCCATAAATCAGAGGTAAATGATATAACAGAATTAAAAGATTTTAGACTTTCAATAACAATTTGTTTTCTTCTGTTATATAATTTTATAGTATCAGAACGAATAGTATTTCTACAATAAGAATGATACCTGTGTTGGAGATAATTCTGCACAAGACGAGTAAAGCGGACTGACTCGATCATCGTTAGCAGCATCATCCCTTCACGAAATCTTTCATATGAATATACAAAAGTAGAAAGAGTAGAACTGGAACCGTTAAATGTTAGTTTGGTCTGTTTCGGGTCAATACCGACTGGTTTCGCTTTGCAACTTCTTAATATGTATCTATTCAAATGCGATGTGCTCGAACTAGACTTCCAACTAAGTTATTTACCACAATAATTGCAACATATTTTTCAAATATCAACTCTGTTTTGAACCCCAACTTTTTTATGAGTCATATGTGGCACAATCCGCAGACTCTTTTTTTACCTTTTAACGTCGACTACTTCCCCCCTGTGATATCCTCCAAATCAATTGGAACATTTTGAGATGTATCGTATCTCAATGGAGTACTTGAACTACCTTTAAATTGATTAATCTCAACACTAGTAAAATTCACGCGTAAGTATTATAGTAAAAAATATTGAAAAATAGAGTAAAAGAAATTGGAGAGTAAAATACTGAATATTGCGTAAAGAAATTTGAGAGTATAATACTGAAATTGAATATTGCGTAAAAAAATTCGAGAGATTGATATGGATTTGTAAAATTTTTCTCGTATTTAAAGACAAAAAAATATATCTGTTTTAACTATATTTAATATTAAAATTTAAATTTTGACAATACAATTACATGAAAAAAATTTACGAATATATTTTTGTGCACGCAGTTCATTTGTTGCTGTCTGTGAGGCAGCTACAAATTGTAGCTTTAATTTGAAATCAAAATTTGAAATTTTTTTTATATAATTGCTTGATAAGGGCTAGTCCGGGCTCGGGTTTTTTCCGAGCCGAGCCCCAGCCCCCGAACTTTTTTCCACCTCTAGGCAGCAGTGTGAAACCCATGTGGGCATCGGGAAGGGCTGCTTCAAGCTGTCTAGATTGACCAAAAAGGTTCAGACTTCCATGATTGCTAAAACCCTTACTATTAAAAACAAGAAGTTGATTAACCAAAAAATCATGAGAAGCAATTTCACCATCTTTCGTTAAAGGAAAATTACCAAAAAATTTAGAAGAAACTAGTAGTAGTGTCTTACTACTTCCATGTATGGTGAAACAGAATAAATAGAATTAAATGTTGGATTACATCTACTAATATATACACAAGTAGTCAAGGGAAAGATAGCATGCATTGTCACTCTTGCCATTGTCATTGCAATTCAATGTACAATGTTTGACAAATTGAAGCCCCAAATCCCTTTCACATACACTTGCAAGGTAACTCAACAATTAAGGACATTGATTGAAATAATAGTGAGGTGTTCTCCCGGATGTGACTAGTGTTCCGGCTGCTCAATTCGGTATTCACCACCTGCAAAATGATGTTGGGGCTCTCTCCCCCGTTGTACCTTTGCGTGAGAATTAGTGTTCAGTATTGGAGAATATGGACAGACAATATTGGAATTCAGATAGTTCGGGTTTTTAGAAACCATACATTTTCCCACATTGGGGTATTTATAGGCAACTGATGGCATGCCCATGTTCCATGATTTGTTGGGCCGCGTGTCCCACGTGTATCTTCCCACTCCCTCATGTTCTATAGCGTCAACCCCCACTCGTCTAGCGGTCGGTTATTCCCGCGTTTGTTGTTTGGTGGTTTTCGTCTATCTCAGGACCATTTATTGGCTAAGTATCCGACAGCTTCGTAACGGTAGACGGCCTATGTGAGCGTAGGGTGCCTCGGGGGGATCGACGTCTTGGTCGTCGGCCTCGTGATGGTAGACGACTTATGCGAGCGTAGAGCGCCCCTGTAGGGTCAACGTTCTGGGGGGTGCACATTAAGTAGCTGACCATTGTGGATAATTATTAACATCGTCCTATATCATTGATGATATTCGAACAATTATAATAATGATATATCAAATTGGAATTGCTTAAATTAGCCTTGAATTTTGAAGCAATGGTAACTAGCATTTTGTTGGGATTAGTTTCATTTTAGGGTTATGGGTTTCACCAATAATTGAGGGCTTGAAGAAATTGGATATGGAAAACTTTGTTAGCTCTAAATTTCGACGGAGGTGAAGGAGCGGCAATCCACCTTTGGATATGTCTCTATTCGAAGCTTTCTCCTTCACTGTGAGTAGTGTCCTTTATCGGGACTATTATGATCGCTGTTTTACTATACTGGTTGATGTGTACACCATATATATTTTTTTTCTAGTTTTTATTGTATTAATAGTTTTTTTTTAGTTTTTATTGTAATAAGAGTATAATTGTAAATTAGTTGTGGTGTTATTGAAATTATAATTTAATTGTAGTGAGATTATAACACCATGTAATAATTAAGAGTTTGTTTGGGAGGGATTAAAATCAGATTAAAATTGAAAATATAGTCGTTATTGTTGACTTTTATTAGACGGGTGAGACCCAATAACGGTCATATTTTCAATTTTAATTGAATTTTAAGCCCTCTGCCTAAATTTTGGGGGTGATAGCCTCTTGTAATCTCTGATATTTGTTCTTTACTCAACCCAGAAAACCCTCCAAAAACTCCTTCAATCCAATCTCAAGCCACCATGAGCAGCTCCTTCAACTCCACCACCACTCCCAACTTCGATAATCTCCTCCTCCAGTCCCTTATGGGCCGCCTCCAAATCCGACCCCCAAGTCTCCACACTCCTCTAACCCCAATGCCGCCTTTTCTCAGCCCTCAATCCCTCGAAGACCTTCTCTTTTCCGATACCTTCCTCAACCTCTCCGACTCCGATTCCGAAAACGAATCCGACAGGACCCAGCTGGCAAAGGAAGAGTCCAGACTTGAAAAGGAGATCATCCGCACTATTCTCAGTGGGGAAAGTGAAAAATTGAAGCCAAATTCGGGTCAAGCTGTGACAATCGGGGAGCATCACATTTGTGTCGGGTTTCATGAGGAGACCGAGTCGGATTATCGGGTCTGGGAGTGGCACGGGCATATCATGTTGTTTGATGAGGAGAATGGGTATACCCCGGAGTATATTTATGGGAATTATTTTGAGAGATTGAATCCGACGAAGAGGCGTATGGAGATAAAGAAGGAAAGGGACGATGATGACTTGAAGGAGGAGGATGGAAAAGGGGAGGAAAAAGAGGAGGAGAAGGTGGGAAATATGGGGTTGAGGGACCTGATTGAGTCCTCGGAAATGGGTACCAACCGGATTCTTCATCGGAATTTGAATGCTAATTCTGCATCTCCAGGTTTGTATAAAATCATCCTTTCCTTCTTACCTTTTACTACTTACTAGACTTTCAATGTACTTTAAGGTGACTACTTATTTATATGTTTTGACAGTTAACCTGTATTGTAGTTTTATGCCTAACATATTTTAAGGTCTAATGTTACCGCGGTAGACTTCTTCTATGTAATGAATTGGTTCAAGTCAAAGAGAGCTAATATTTTGCTTGTACATTCTAAAAAAGAGCAAATATCTGACAGGGAAAAGTATAGGATGAGGATAAGTTGACTTATTTCATATGCAAAAGAATCAATCACAATTTCGTTTTCATTCTGTGCATGAATATCTGTTTTTGCTATGTATTCTATGAATATCACACACGCCATCCGAGACGAGCCAACATATTTGGACTAAAATATAGCTACTGATACCCCCGTTTGGTGCACATTTTTGGAAAAAGAATGCATTTTTACTGGTGATGTGATGGGAAATATGTGATTGAAAAAGAAGAAAATGTTATTGATGTGATGAAAAATATTATTTAATTGAAGAATGTGTGGTTAAAAATGAGTAGAAGAATGAGATTGAAAAAAATAATGTGGTTCAAACAGGTGTGTGAGATAACTAGTTTGTTTAATCAAACCATTGTTATCTGAACTCGTGTATTTCGTGGAAGTGAGATAACTGGTTTGTTTATTCTGTTGCTTCCGTGTATGCTTATAAAATGTCAATCTTACTTCCAATGACCGAAGGCTGAAATTAGCTCTTCCATCATGGTAATTGGCAGGTTTTAGTTGAGAAGTTATTCAAATCAACAAAGACCTCATTTTGTTGGACAACGATGGAATCAAACACTGGATATGCTTGTTAGTACGTGATCATTGAGATTAACTTTTAAGTGTATCTTTGTTGAGCCTTAAATCAGTTTGAATGGCTTCAAATGGAATGTCTGAACATTTTTCAATTATTAGCAGTATGAAAGTTATTAATATACATGCTGAGTTTAACAGTGATGATTTCAGTTTCGTCTTGCTAATTTGGTTGTTTCAGTTTTATATTGCTGAATCACTTCTATTCCTCTTGAAATTTAAGGGATAATTTCTTAGAATGGATCTGATTTTATTTGTTAAGGGATATATCGTTTGCGCTATGGAGTCGGGTGGATGCATTTCAAATTTATTTGAGATGATCTTTACCTATTTTGGAATGAGGCAACCATGGTTGATTTATTAGTAGATGAATCATCACTTTCACTATTTGGACATAGATATTTCCAGGAATGAATTGGTGTGTGTAACATGCAGTGTATGGATAACGGGTTGGATGAGCTCAGATAGTGGGGCTTAACCTGAACCATATTTTTAGGTGGATCAGTTCAAATTGATAACGGGGTTGAATTACCCATTTTGACACCTTTACCAGGGAATGTATATTGAATAATGCTAAAGTGCACATTGTGTGGGTGACATCTTTGTGTACATTTCATTGGAGTTCAAAAAATGTTGGACGAGAAAGTGTTTTTTTTTTTTTAAAAAAGAAACTATCGAATATGTGTCGTCATGTGACATAATGTCAAAAATGATACAAAAAAGATGTACATGTAGCATCATTTATGTATATTTGGCATGCAGTCGATGTTTTAAAAGATGTGAGCATTGTAAGGCGTGGATGTCAAGGTTTATGAGTCTAGACATGATTGGGTGAAGCTTTGGTGTAATTTAACTATTCTAGATTAATAAATAGATAAATAAAGCATACCTTGAAAATGTATAAAAACTTTTTACATACTTTCAAGTTTTCAATAAAAATATAATTCACAAATCATGAGTCGTTAATTCCTTAGATGTGAACATAAATTAAATCTTGATGAACTCTTTTGTTCGTGGTGAGTCAAAGTCGCAGAGGATTCAGAACATAAACTGGGCAAATAAACAAAAATAGATGTTGCTACTTGTATATAGAAAATGTACAAAATGTACGTAATGAATTATATAATATAATGTGGAAGGAAAAGATTGGATGAAAAAATTGGTCTATCATGTGACATGTAATTCATTATGTAAATTTTGATGTACATTTAGAAAGATTCAACAAAAATAGAGAGAATGGATGCTTTGATTTTTCTTACATCTTGAATGCTCTGATTTTGAACGTAAAATAAAGGGAAAAGTCTACATGTACATAATATATGTACATAATAGTGTCAATAATGTGATGTGAATAAAATCCTGTTATTGATGTGAAAGTGTGAGATTTGAATTAATGGTTGGATCCATTGTCACGTGTAATTATGGACACCATTATGTATAGATTTATGTATATGTAGCACTTCTCTAAATAAAGAGTCTAAAATTGTTAGGGGATGAGTCCTGATTTTTTGGGCATACTTCTTTTTAAATTCTAAAAGTTTTTGGTTTTTTTTTTGTCAGGATGGACATTAAAACTAGGAAAAAACCATCCATCAAGCAGAAATGCACGCTACATTTTCGCCTAGGTGCATTTTTAGGCGATCAACTGCTTATTTTCTCGTCTTTCCACAATACAGAGAAATTTTTCCGCCTAGGCAGCCGTTTTAGGTTGTATGATAACTATATAGTACCATAGATGATAAATTAGTATCTGTTTAATAAAATTTGTAAATCATTTATAAATAATCAAACTTTATTTTCAACCATACATGTTAATAATTTTATAATTGTTATCCACTGATGTTATCAAAAATCGTCACATGTTGATTATCAACCTTAACGATTGATGATGATTACGAACGAAATATTCGGTACCTAAAACAAAGGCTTCAAGGTGTGTTCCCATTTCCCCTCCAATGCTTAAGTTAGCGAAAGGAGAAAATATATGCGTAAGACTATACATTGAATATAAAACATACCTGAATAATGAATTGTGGTCATATATTTATTGAGTAGGTTGTACACTCCTAGTAGGGTTAGATTATTGAATATCTTATCCTTTTTATAGTTTTAGAATGTGTTAAAGTTTTATTAAGATATGTTCTAGTGGGATTCAACCTTATTGGAATTGGATAGGTTTGAATGTAGAGTCCTACTAAAGTATGTTTTTTGAGGTAGAGAAAGGGATAAACATAAAAATTTGAGGTGACGTGGAATCGTCACATGCGACAATTAAACTCGAGGAGGACAACCTGGGTAAACTCCCTATGTGACTAGAAATAAATTTGAGCATTGTTGTTTGGGGTTGATTAAAAAAATGACCATATCATTGGCCCCCGTGCATCCATGTTCGGGACTTGAGAATGTTGTTTAGAATGCTCGAGGTTCGAAGATGAGATGCAGATTGCTCGAGTTGAGTGTTGACTGCTTGAGGTTGAGTGAAGGATATGTTGATAGACTCTCGGGCACATAGATCTAGGAAAGTTCTGGGCTTATAAGATCGATCCATTTACTTGATGATTTTTAGGACTAATTTTAGCTTAAATATACAAAGTATTTGCAAGGATGCTTGCATGGGGGGCAAGTCTTTGAAGTGCTTGCTCGTAAGCAAAGCTTTGAGGTTCTTGCTCGTGGGCAAGACTTTGAGTGCTTGTGCGTGGTTAAGGTTTAGAGGTGTTTGCTTGTGGCATGGCTTTAAGTGCTTGTGCATGGGCAAGACTTTGAGGTGCTTGGGCGTGGGGCAATATTTTGATGTGCTTGCGCACGGACAAGGCTTTAACTTCTGATAATAAGAAACCCATGAGTTAGGGCTCTCCTTCGATAATGTGAAAACAACAAGCTAATGCTTGCATTCGATAATAAGAAAACAACGAGCGGAGGCTCGCCTTCATTAATAAAAAAATCATGAGCTAAGACTCTCCTTTAATAAGAAAACTACGAGCTAGGGCTCGCCTTCAAAAATAAGAAGCTAAGGCTTGCCTTCAATAAATAAGAAAACCACGAGCTAGACTCGAATAAACAGATATTATTCTGATGCTTGATAATGAAACCATGCATAGTTTGCAAGTTACATGTAAAGTTGCAACAAGCTTCCATCTAGGCAACTTAAAGCTTGCAAGGGGTTTGGATGAAGAGATGGAAATTCTCATTTGTTTAGTTCCTCTTAAATTTAGGGAAGTGTTCAAAAGTCATGGATTAACTATACAAAATTCAAAAATTAGGTTTTAAGTTTGACTAATGCAAAAATCAGGTTTTAGTTAATTAATTAAAAATATTTATTAATTAAATATAATAAAATCATAGTTATATAATTAATGGTCACATATATATAATTATAGGTCACATGTCACATATTTTAAAATTAATTGATCACAAATTATTTCGAGATCACATATCAAAAATTTTGTACGTCACAAATTATTTCGAGGTCACAGATTTATAAATTAGTTGGTCACAGATTATTTTTGAGTAACATGTTATTAAATTTTTAGGTCACAGTTGAGTACTTGGTTACAAATTACCAAACATTTGGTCACAGACTACCGCCACCACAACTATGGCCACTTTCGACCACCCTCACCACGTCGCCACCGCCACAACTGCACCAACAAAGCCACTGACAACCACCTCCACCACCAAACAACCACCGTCACCCCCACAACAACAAAAAAACACCATCGCCACCTGCACCAGCAGAACCTACCACCATCGCCGCCTGCACCACCAAAAAAAATTGTCACCGTCGTCGCAACACCACCACCACAACAAAAAACTAGGCGCCGCACCACACACCACAACCAAAACGCGGTGCTTGCACCACCACCACAACCAAAACTGAGGTAGTGTCGAAGAGAGAGGAGAGAGAGAAGGCAGATCGAAAACCAAAAGTCGTTCTCAGCAGCTTCGCTGTTCTCAACCATCACCATTGCGATTTTGGGATCAAAATCACTAGCTAGTCGACTTAGATTCGAGCAAACAGAGCGCCGCCGTGCGTGAAGGTGAGCGCCGCCATCACAGCGTCATCACACTGCACACGACACTCACAACATCAACTCCCGGTGGTGACGCCGCCGTGCTGGCGGTTCTCTTCCAGGGCGACGCTGCTACTATTGAGAGAGAGGAGAAGACGGGTGTCTTCGGATATCTTATTCTTTTTGGAGTTTTAGAATGTGTTAAAATTCTATTATGATATGTTCTAGTGGGATTCAACCTTATCGGAATTGGATAAGTTTGAAGATGGAAGTAGAGTCCTACTAAAATATATTTTTTGAGGTCGAGAAAATGATAAATGTAAAAATTTGAGGTGATGTGAAATTGTCACACGTGACAATTAAACTCAAGGAGGACACCTTGGGTAAATTCCCTAGATGACTGGAAACAACCTCGGGCATTGTTGTCCGAGGTTGATAAAAAAAAAATGACCATACCATTCATCATTAATTTTTATTTATTTATAAGTTCTTCGAGATTAATAATACATTGTTTTCCTTTGTACTTTGAAATTAGATATGATATTTTCTATTATTTATAAATTAAATTATATATATTTAAGTGACTCTTCGTTTATAAAGATGATCTTATATATTATAGAGAATATTTTTAAATTTAGAGAGTTAAAATCTTTACACACACTAACAAGTTCTCTATTTTGATTTTTCATTCGCCTTTTTCAAAAAAATATTTATTGCTTCTTTTTATATTTTATTTAACATAATTTTTTAATGTCAATTAATTAATTAATTAAAATATGATTAAAATAATTCAAGAAGTAGAAGAATCTATTGAAATTCATTTTAAACATTGATTTTTTACAATAAATGATATTTTATATTTAGAGAATCGTTTAGTGCATTGCTTCCATTTGAAGATGCTCCACGGATATGTACTTTTGCTTCTGTTTGGGCGACATCATTTCAAGTAGGATAATGAGAAAGTGTACTGTTGGAGCGTGCAATTCAAGGAAAGTGTGAGATGAAAGTAAAAAAAAAAAAAGAAAAGGCCAAGTGGGTCCTTCGACGTTACAATTTTTTCTAAAGATGAAGAAAAATGTGGAAAAAAATGGAAGCTTTATCTTCTTTTCTACTTTTGTTAAATATAAATAATCCTTTAGTCAATTCTACGATCTAATACCAATATTTTAATAATTATTCAAATAGATACATATGGTTCAAGTAAGGGAGGTGCATGTTCGTCGTCCGTTTCTCTCTCTCCAGAAATAGATCTCTCTCCTCCGTTTCAACGAGTCTCTCCCTCCTAGGGTTCCGATGCCGATTCTCCCGAAACGATCCGATTGAAACTGATCCATTTAACAATTACTCAAAAAGTTCCTTTATGTTTGTTGTATAGCTCTGTGCAGAGTTTGTTGTCTAGAGAAAAATAATTCGGAAACAATTGAGGAATTGTGAATTGGAGAGCATCGAACAATGAACTCGATGCCTTCAGACGATATGCTAATGCACCGCCCTTACGTGACCTTCTTCTATGGCGCTTGGTCTTCTCATCGCCTGAAACGTCTTGAAAAAAGTGATCGGCGTGGTAATCTTAGTAGTTAACATTAGCCTAAATTTTTATATTTCCGTCTGAGTTTCGTGGGTTTAGTCTGGGTTTTTTGTTCTTTGCATATTGTATTTTTCTGATTTCCCTTCGGTTACAATCATACGAGTGATTAATTTGGTGGTGAGCTAATTTTGATTCGAAATTGAGCTATCGTAATTTGCCGTGATTCCCCCTTTCTAGTGGTTTAAGGAGAGTTTTCAGCTGTAACTTGGAGGATTTTATACGCTTGGATCAGCACAAGGTACTTTCTTTGTAAAATTAAATTTTGTATTTGAATCGATTTATTATATGTACATGTTTCATATAAGGGTTATGTTATATTTTGGATTTAGAGATGTGAGTGGGTAATATTTTCTTTTTCTTTTGTTAATTTCTTCATTTTCTGCTTCACGGGCTTGGTAATATTGTTCACTGAAGTTCATCAAATATGCCATTTAGCACTTGTTTGGGTTTCGTTATAAGTTCCTTAAATTAGAATGTGATAGAAATGAGTGGTTACGAGATGTGTGGTTAAAATTAATGTTTAACTTTTACCTTTAAATTATAAGGAACTTATAATGAAACACAAACAAACTTTCTGTAGAAGTTCCATCAGATGGTGTGCCTGGTGCTTCAATCCCACTTTTTACCTGAGCGACTTATTTTGTTGTATGGTTATGGATATTTTCAAGTTATAAACTGGTTATTGCTCATGCTTAACGTGTATTCCTCCTATCTAGTGGTAAGTCAATATCGGTATTATGCTGGGGTTCAATTGAGTGATTTTGTTCCTATCCTCTGTTCTACAGTTAGTTCTATGTTTCGGAGTTCTTTTGGAAGTGATATTTTACATTTAGGACTTAGTTTCTTCCTTTTGTGCTTCTGCAGCCCTTCTCTGCGCTTCTGATTCCTGTAGATGGACGTTTGTGTTCTTCATAATGCGCCAGGTCCTCAGGATATAACCAGCCTTAGCGAATCGTCAACTGATCCCCCTGACTCAGCTCGTCACTGTGCAAGTGATCTTTCCATGAGTGATCTGAAAACCTGTTTGACTGAGTTTCTAAACATTGAGGATGTGGCAATTTCAAGTTGTGGATTCACTCCAACTCCTCAGAAGAATGTTATAGGCAATGTGGTGAGGATAGATGAACATACGGACCCAGATGTTAGGGAGTTGAGCAATTTAGCTTCCGATAATTGCCTTAGCAAGTGTGCCACATTTCCACCTCTTGGTGGGCATAAATCTTCCACTGTGGAATTAGTGGTCGGGAAAGAAAAGCAGGGTGATGATATAGCTTCCAAAGTCTCTTTCCCAAATGGCTATGCTAAATCTGTTAATCAGTCCTGTTCACGGTCCATATCTTTGCCTGTAAGTTTACTTAAGACTTCTTGATAGGTAGCTTCTGTCTCTATTTTCCCACCGACATAAGATGTTTCTCATGTCAAATGGGTGAATTTTAGAGAAAATCAGATGCTGTTTTTGGTCCAAGGCAGTTATAGTATTCTACCTTTAGATGTCTGATTGGGAACTGGAATTGCACTAATACTTCTATGATCATGATAAATTAATAGAACGTAGGTATGATTTTTATGCCATCTCTTTGCTTTCCGCAAGGTATGTGCCAATCGTGCCTCTAAGGGTGCGATGCTAGAAATAATTTCTTCCATACTATATTCTACCTTCGTACTTGCGCATCATTATATTTCTTTATAGTTTTCCAACATATAAGTGATCTTCTTGGTGATCTGTTTGCACTTCATATCAGAGACAATAGTTCTAGTGGATTCTGGTGAGTGAATCTTTTGCTCATCCTTGATGAACCTTTTGATGTGCAATCTCTGTAGTACTTCAACAGTGCGATTGTTTATTTTCTTTGTTTTCTCATTCTTATCTTCTTTAATTGCCTATTTAGTAACTGGGGCGGTGCCGGGAATAAAGTTTCAGTAAATGAGCAGCTCATTCCAAATAATTATGTTTTAGACATGATAGGTTCTAATATGGCTAATATACAGTGGTTTAGTTTTGGGCAATATGATGTTACCACACACGTTCATCTTTCTCCTTGAATTCTATCTTCTTACAGACTTCTTCAAAGCTTGTATCCGCCATGAAAGGTAGCCGTGAAAAGCAGGGGATACCACCTGAGGAACTCTCAGTAACATGGGCCCCTGACGTGTACGATCCAGTTCCAACAGCAGCGTCGCATGTTTCGTCGAACAAGAATCATCGCCATCGTAGTGATAGCAAGAGGTACGGGAAGAACAAGCAGAAGGGTGGTGGCAAATCTTCACGGGGCAGCAAGGGCAAAGACAAGAAGCAAGGTAGGAAGAACATTGGAAGTTCTAATAGGTTCAAGTCTCTGGATGAAAATGACCATATGGTTGGTTTTCCTGAGCCTCAGGTGAGCGTTGTTGATTTTGATGTTGGTTGCCAAGACTTGTTATGCGGACCTAGTTTTCTGAAGAAGTCTGCCACAAATTCGCACTATCTGGTTGCAGAGGCTATGTGAAGCCTTGTCCAAATGGTATGCTTTTACTTTTTCCATCGATGTTGTGATTAATCAATAAGATAGCTTGGTTTTCGTTACTTTGGGAATTCTAAGAGAGACCCATGCAAATGACCTATTGGATAATGGTTATGCTACCATGAGAACTGTTTTAACTCTTAAGAGCTTTCTGTTATGATATACTTCTCTTGTTTATATTGTTATGTTTGGACATGTATGATTAGTAGATTGGTTTTCATCTGATTGACGTGATTCACACAGGATGCTACCGTCTATAGACAATGAATTATAGTCGACTATACAACCTCGTTGTCATTCATTCTATACGGTTCAAAATTGGCTGGACGTTAACTATAAAACTTCAATTTTGATGATATTGGTGGCTCCTGATTCCTTCAATGAAATTAGACAGTTTGTTTATCTTCTCACTCAACTTGCCATGTCAACAATGGTGTGGAACACTGTTTAGTGAAAACGTGTTTAACAAAGCTTCACCTGATTTCTTCATCGTTCTCTGCTACCGAGAAGTTTCACAGATGTAGAAAGTCTCCAAATTTGCTTTTCTTCACTTTTTTATCAAATTCACTTAATAGGTGTTGAGAAAATGAAAAAAAGGTTTACGCTCATTCCCTCTGATGATGACTTATAAAGGGTTTACTCTCATGAAGTGATAGCTAGAAAGAAAAAATGCGCACACATGAAATTAAATTTTGAGTTCCTCAGAAAAGTAACTTCTGGCGTTTAAAACATGGGTTAATTTCACAAATGGTTACTGAACTTACGCAAAAATAATAAAACGGTCATTGAAGTTCAAAACTTGCAGAAACGGTCACTGAAGTTTCATACACTTTCACAAACGGTCACTGAAATTTAAGTTTTTTTCACAAACGGTCACTGGAGGACTGTTATGCCTTTAGTTCAAACATAAATGACCAAAGTGAGATAATCCGGATTTTGGACAGTTTTGAGGTGCCAACTTTGGACCACCATAACTCCGTCCTTCGGCCACCTTTTGCCACGAACCAATATACCAAATTGAAGCCCTTAATGCCCTCTTAACAACCCACCCAACCACTGGCCTTTATCCTGTCGTAATTGGCCGGAAAATCGAGCCAAAGTGAGCTACCCGGATTTTGGACAGCTTGGAGGTGCCAACTTTGGACCATCATAACTTCGTCCTCCGACCACCTTTTCCACGGACTAATATACCATATTGAAGCCCTCAATTCCCTCTTCAAAATACATCCAAACACTGGCTGTGATCCCATCGGAATTGTCTGGGAAATCGCCCCAAAGTGGGTTACCCACGCACAGCTTGCTGTCCAAAATCAGGCTGTGAGTGGGTAGCTCACTTTGGATCCTTTTTCCGCCCAATTTCGATGGGATCACGACCATTGGTTGGGTGGGATTTGAAGAGGGAATTTAGGGCTTCAATATGGTATATTGATCCGTGGAAAAAGGTAGCTAGAGGTTGGAGTTATGG